TAGAGTTCTCAATGATAGCTTGCTATATTAGAGCATTTTAGGCTGCATTTCATGCATCTTTTCCCTTTTTTTGTATTATAGTTTACCAATTTAGTCTCATTTACAATTAGAATCAACATTGCATGCATTTAGTTTAGGAATGCATACATATGCATACATTTTCATATCTGCGATGCATTTCAGGTGTTTATGGAGGTTTTACAACTTGGGGAGGAGATGGAAGCAGCTCACGCTCGAAGAAGATGCCAAAGAAGGAGCTTTGCGAAGTTTGGTCTCATATCGAGGAGAAACATCAAGCAAAACCTCGGTGGAGTGTGCCCGATTTGCGCTGGGGGACATGAAGATGAAGACCGGATCAAGGTGCTACATCGAGCAGAGAATGTTGCACGGGCCGATACGCGCTGCATGACCCATAGCAGGGTTGTACATCGAGCAGAACACCGTCCGTACAACCCCGATATAATTTATCCGTGCGTTGACCACCGGATTTTCATTAACCTTATCTTGTTTTTCTGTTTCATATCTTTCTTTTGGTTCCCTGCTATAAAAGGGAAACCATAAAACATTGTCTTTATCTTATCTTAAGCTAGCAATCCTTATATTTATCTTTTCATCTTGTTCTTGCAACTTAATAGGTCGATTAGCTCTACATCTATTTTCCTTAAAAAAATTTACATCTTTATGGTTTAATCTTGTCTTCTGATCTTTGGTTTCGCATCCTGATAGTTTAGTTTTCTTATCTTTGCATTTTAATCTCATATAATCATGTTTAACTCTAAACAAATGGGATTAAACATGGTTATTCAGTAATTTACCTTCGATTTAGGGTTTTAAATAGGGAAAGTGGTGATAGCTTGCTATATTAGAGCATTTTAGGCTGCAATTCATGAATGTTTTCTCTTGTTCCTGCATTATTTCTTATCATTTTAGTCCTATTTACAGATAGAAGTAGCCATGCATGCATTTAGATTATGAATGCATATATTTGCATGTTTAAAGTGTATTTCAGGTGTTTTTGGGACTAAGGAGACTTATTGGAGGATGGAGGATCATAAGGAGTCAAAGAAATATGAAAGAAGAATGAAGCCAAGCTGTTTAGAAGCTGCATTGAGGTCCCACATCGAGGTCTTTGCTCGGTTCAACAGGATGCGAGTTAACGGTCGGTCCGGACGAAGCCTCTCCACTCAGATTCAGGTTCCACGTTCTGCATGTAATATGTAGAGGATCGCAATAGCTTTCCAATGGTGGCCGGATCATTTCATTTGGATCTGGAGTTTAAGAGATAAAGCGATTTCAGCTACGCAGTGTTCACAAGCATGCTGCACCGGGAAGCACATCGACCAAAACACAGGCAAAACTACCTGATGCGTGCCGAAACAACCAAAGCTGTCTGAAGCAACAGGGATAGAGTGCATAGATGTCCAGCATCGAGCAGAATCCCGCCCATGTACCCCGATATGCTTTATCCGAGAGTTGACCAACATTTTCTACATTTGACCAAACCTTATCTTTTTACTTATTTAAGCTAAACCTTATCATTTTACCATCTTATCTTCTTCTGGACCCTATTTTCGACCTTGTGGGAAACCACAAAAATATTTTTATGGGATTTTGATCAATATTACTCTTTTAATAAAGTTTTGCACTTTCTTTGTTATTTTCATTCTAGTTCTTGTTTAATCATGTTTGATATGTGATCTCTTCTTGTTTCTATTAATTTCATGATGAGTAGTGAGTAGTTTAATATGGCTTGAGTTTGAAGCAGATTTGGGTGTGATTAGTTGATAGCTTAGGGAGTTTTGGTCTGATTCGTGCTTAGATCATTTAGCTTAGTTGTTCTTCCGCACCATTGCAAGCATTCTACTCTTTATCTCGAAACCAGCATTACTTAAAGGAGGGGTAATAAACACGTCAGATTTGTAGCCGCTTGGTTAATCACATTCCCCATTGGTTCGTGGCTGCCTTGTGGAATGTGACCATTATTGTGCTCTTGCAGCCTCAAACTACTCGTTGTGAATCTGCTCTTCCTCAATCAACAGTTTTTTTAATTGTGATTTGTACCTACAAAAGGTTCTTCAAGGGAGAATGTTAGTAATCGATTTAAATGAAAGACCAAGTCTTGCTATAAACTCAAAACTTAATACTCAAAAACAAGACCAAATCGGCAACGACCCCAATTTGATAACCAGTTTTTCACCGGCTATGCAAAACAGCCCATCCTACTACCTCGTGTAACATAGTGGTTGGGGGTTTATCAATCAAAATAGGTCATATTGGTATACTTAGCCTATAAGAGATTAATGAAAATCTAGGCAAAATAAAATAGGGAGTTTGCAATAGATCTAGCTGTCACAACTAGAATCAAACTAAAAAGTATTACCAGATCTAATTAATAACGAGGTAAATGAAATAAACAAATGCTAGATGGTAGAAACCGGTTCAAGAGATGGGGTGCGAAGAGCTAAAATGAATAAATAAAGGTTCTTCGTTTGTAAATTAGCAACCTTTAGAGGCTAACCCCTTAGCATAGAGTTCTCAGTGATAGCTTGCTATATTAGAGCATTTTAGGCTGCATTTCATGCATCTATTCTCTTCTTTTTGTATTATAGTTTACCAATTTAGTCTCATCTACAATTAGAATCAACATTGCATGCATTTAGTTTAGGAATGCATACATATGCATACATTTGCATATCTTCGGTGCTTTTCAGGTGTTTATGGAGGTTTTACAACTAGGGGAGGAGATGGAAGCAGCTCACGCTCGAAGAAGATGCCAAAGAAGGAGCGTTGCAAAGTTTGGTCTCATATCGAGGAGAAACATCAAGCAAAACCTCGGTGGAGTGTGCCTGATGTGTGTCGGGGGACGTGAAGATGAAGACCGGATCAAGGAGTCTGAGGCAGTGGATGCGTCGAGGTGCTACATCGAGCAGAGAATGTTGCACAGGCCGATACGCGCTGCATGACCCATAACAGGGTTGTACATCGAGCAGAACACCGTCTGTACAACCCCGATATAATTTATCAGCGCGTTGACCACCGGATTTTCGTTGACCTTATCTTGTTTTTCTGTTTTTATCCTTCTTTTGGTTCCCTACTATAAAAGGGAAACCATCAAACATTTTCTTTATCTTATCTTAAGCTAGCAATCCTTATCTTTATCTTTTCATCTTGTTCTTGCACCTTAAAAGGTCGATTAGCTCTACATATATTTTCCTTAAAAAAGTTTTCATTTTTATGGTTTAATCTTGTCTTCTGATCTTTGGTTTAGCACCCTGGTAGTTTAGTTTTCTTATCTTTGCACTTTAGTCTCATCTAATCATGTTTAACTCTAAACAAATGGGATTAAACATTATTATTCAGTAATTTACCTTAGATTTAGGGTTCTAAATAGGGAAAGTGGTGATAGCTTGCTATATTAGAGCATTTTAGGCTGCAATTCATGAATGTTTTCTCTTGTTCCTGCATTATTTCTTATCATTTTAGTCCTATTTACAGATAGAAGTAGCCATGCATGCATTTAGATTATGAATACATACATTTGCATGTTTAAAGTGTATTTCAGGTGTTTTTGGGACTAAGGAGACTTATTAGAGGATGGAGGATCATAAGGAGTCAAAGAAATATGAAAGAAGAATGAAGCCAAGCTGTTTAGAAGCTGCATTGAGGTCTCACATCGAGGTCTTTGCTCGGTTCAACAGGATGCGAGTTAACGGTCGGTCTGGACGAAGCCTCTCCACTCAGATTCAGGTTCCACGTTCCGCATTTAATTTGTAGAGGATCGCAATAGCTTTCCAATGGTGGCCAGATCATCTCATTTGGATCTGGAGTTCAAGATATAAAGCGATTTTAGCTACGCAGTGTTCACAAGCATGCTGCACCGGGAAGCACATCGACCAAAACACAGGCAAAACTGCCTGATGCGTGCTGAAACAACCAAAGCTGTCTGAAGCAACAGGGATAGAGTACATCGATGTCCAGCATCGAGCGGAACACCCGCCCATGTAACCCGATATGCTTTATCTGAGAGTTGAACAACTTTTTCCACTTTTGATCAAACCTTATCCTTTCACTTATTTAAGCTAAACCTTATCTTTTTACCATCTTATCTTCTTCTGGACCCTCTATTCGACCTTGTGGGAAACCACAAAGAGATTTTTATGGGATTTTGATCAATATCACTCTTTTAATAAAGTTTTGCACTTCCTTTGTTATTTTCCTTCTAGTTCTTGTTTAATCATGTTTGATATGTCATCTCTTCTTGTTTCTATTAATTTCATGTTGAGTAGTGAGTAGTTTCATATGGTTTGAGGTTGAAGCAGATTTGGGGATGATTAGTTGATAGCTTAGAGAGTTTTGGTTTCATTCGTGCTTAGATCACTTAGCTTAGTTGTTCTTCCGCACCATTGCAAGCATGCTACTCTTTATCTCGAAACCAGCATTACTTAAAGGTGGGGTAATACCAACTTCAGTTTTGTAGCCGCTTGGTAAATCACATTCCCCAATTGTCTGTGGCTGCCTTAGGGAATGTGACCATTGTTGTGCTCTTGCAGCCTCAAACTACTCGTTGTGAATCTGCTCTTCCTCCATCGACAGTTTTTTTAATTGTGATTTGTACCTACAAAAGGTTCTTCGAGGGAGAATGTAAGTAATCGATTTAAATGAAAGACCAAGTCTTGCTATAAACTCAAAACTTAATACTCAAAAACAAGACCAAATCGGCAACAACCCCAATTTGATAACCAGTTTTTCACCGGCTATGCAAAACACGCCAGCCTACTACCTCGTGTAACATAGTGGTTGGGGGCTTATCAATCAAAATGGGTCCTATTGATATACTTAGCTTATAAGAGATTAATGAAAATCTAGGCAAAATCAGTTAGGGATCTTGTAATAGATCTAGCTGTCACAACTAGAATCAAACTAAAAAGTATAACCAGATCTAATTTATAACAAGGTAGAAGAAATAAACAAAAGCTAGATGGTAGTAACCGGTTCAAGAGATGGGGTGCGAAGAGCTAAAATTAATAAATAGGGGTTCTTGGTTTGTAAATTAGCAACCTTTAGAGGCTAACCCCTTAGCATAGAGTTCTTAATGATAGCTTGCTATATTAGAGCATTTTAGGCTGCATTTCATGCATCTTTTCCCTTCTTATTGTATTATAGTTTACCATTTTAGTCTCATATACAATTAGAATCAACATTGCATGCATTTAGTTTAGGAATGCATACATATGCATACATTTGCATATCTGCGGTGCTTTTCAAGTGTTTATGGAGGTTTTACAACTTGGAGAGGAGATGGAAGCAGCTCACGCTCGAAGAAGATGCCAAAGAAGGAGCTTTGCGAAGTTTGGTCTCATATCGAGGAGAAACATCAAGCAAAACCTCGGTGGAGTGTGCCCGATGTGTGCCGGGGGACGTGAAGATGAAGACCGGATCAAGGAGTCTAAGGCAGTGGATGCATTGAGGTGCTACATCGAGCAGAGAATGCTGCACAGGCCGATCACGCTGCATGACCCATATCAGGGTTGTACATCGAGCAGAACACCGTCTGTACAACCCCGATATAATTATTCCGTGCGTTGACCACCAGATTTTTGTTGACCTTATCTTGTTTTTCTGTTTTTTATCCTTCTTTTGGTTCCCTACTATAAAAGGGAAACCATAAAACATTGTCTTTATCTTATCTTAAGCTAGAAATCTTTATCTTTATATTTTCATCTTGTTCTTGCACCTTAAAAGGTCGATTAGCTCTACATATATTTTCCTTAAATAAGTTTGCATTTTTATGGTTTAAACTAAACTACCAGGTTTTGACTTTTGACCAAACCTTATCCTTTCACTTATTTAAGCTAAATCTTATCTTTTTACCATCTTATCTTCTTCTGGACCCTATTTTCGACCTTGTGGGAAACTACAAAGAGGTTTTTATGGGATTTTGATCAATATCACTCTGTTAATAAAGTTTTGCACTTCCTTTGTTATTTTCCTTCTAGGTCTTGTTTAATCATGTTTGATATGTCGTTTCTTCTTGTTTCTATTAATTTCATGATGAGTAGTGAGTAGATTCATATGGTTTGAGGTTGGAGCATATTTGGTGATGATTAGTTGATAGCTTAGGGACTATCAGGATAGCTTAGTTGTTCTTAGTGCTGAATAACTCTTTTAGGATGAAACTGATCTTAGGTTTTGCTGCATAACAAGTGTTTATTTAAATGTCTGAAAGGACTTTGTTAAGAACATTCTCCTAGATGAATATATTGGCGTTTAGGTAGCATGTTTCGTCTATAAGAGACTTGTGTTTTCATGCTGGTTTTGCACAAATATGCCATCACAAGTGGGTCTGACATGTGCTTAACTTAGACATCTCTGTTCTTTTTGCAGATTGATTGATTTAGTGGCTTGATCATGTTCTTTGCTTGTTAATGGTATTGACTGCCCTAAGTTTGATACTAAGTAATCCCTGAGTCATCATTGCTCTAGCCTTGAATCAGCGCCTTATTATTCTTTGAATTTGATCATCTTGTGCTATGTTTTCCTCTGTTATTTGTTGCTTTGCTTTTGTTCCATTCCTTGCCTTGCATTTTAAGTTATTGTATTTAGCATTCATTTTGGTTCTTGCACTTCCATTGTTTTGTTTACCTAAGTCCTGTTGAATTAAGATAACTGCTTTATTAGTTTCTGTTGCATTTAGTTTTTTTGCATTGCATTACTTGCTTTAGTCTTGATAGGATTGCATTTCACTTGTGCTTTTCATCTTTGATCACTTTGGTTGTTAGAATCATGCTTCTTCATCATACATGGTTAAGCTTAGTTTGTGTCTTGCATCTCTTTTATTCTAGCTCTTAGATGGATTGATTAAACCTCTTTTATACTACATCTGATTAGAGAGGGATTATGTTAAGACTTGCAAAAAGTCCTTCTTCAATTTGGCGCCGTTGCCATTATAGGATTGTTAGATAATTAAGTTTAAGTTCTTGCTTAGACTTAACCACCTTTTACTTTACTAATCACTTTACCTTTCTTATTCTGTTTTCTCAGGTACCATGGCTAATTCAAACAACTTTGTACCTGCTCATCATGCTCAGTTCCGAGAGGATGAAGCACCAGTTCAGAGGTTACATAGGCCAGTGCCTTATATTGCTAGAAGAGCACAGAACATTGGATCTCATGATGCTCCTTACCTTCATAATAGACGCAGAGGTATACTTCCTCCACCATCTCAAGAGTATGACTTTGAGATCAAGAGTACTGTCGTTGCAATGGTCCAAGCCAACCACTTTAATGGAACATTGATACAATCCTTGAAATGCTTCAAGTATTGTTCCTTTGAAATCATTGCTTAGAAGCCTTTGATGGTTGAATGGCTAGATGGTTGGTTGGCCAGCTGTGCTTGAATCCCCAAACACAAAGGGTTTAGATTCTAATGTCCAAGGGCTAATCCTGACAAGAACACTAGTCTCTACACTCTTTACAAGTTCTAAGAATCCCTCTTGAAGAACTAGTAATAAGCAGGAACAATATTGTAAGCAAAGATAAACTTCTTTGAAACAAAATAGAATTTTCTTGATTAATAATTTGGTAACTCGAAAGTATAAAAGTAGATGAGCTTTTATAATGCTCAGAAAATATGAAATAAACGGTAACTAAAGTAAATGAAAGCAACAAATATGGTATTTGTTCTTCGCTCCATTTTCCTAGCCGTTAGGCTTTAATGTGTTTGGTCTTGACTTGGGCGCTGAATGGGGGAGCTGTGATGATTCATTGGCACGAAATGAATGTATAGAATCCTCCAGAGATGATGTATGGTCGGAGTTGACTGATGAAAGAGGGATTTGGTATGACTTTCCCTTAGAAGTGAGATGGAAGGTGGCTTCATGATTGATTCTTCTTGAATTTGACTCGGTTTAGGACAGTTCAGGAACTGATTTGCTGGTCTTGAATGTCTTGAAATATATCCTGGTGGTCAAATATAGGGGTTGGACGAATATAATATCATATGATCCCTTGTTTCCTTAACGAGCTCTAATGTTACTCCTTTTGGCGGTTTGGGGAGATTTGGCGGTTCTCCTTGGTTATTTGACGTTTTGTCTTGAACCAGGAATGATTTTAGGGTCTCCTAAGCTTCATTAAACATGAGATTTTGGTCGCATAACATGTTGGTAGAGTAGATATTCGAACTTTCCTTAAACGGCTCCTTTGGTATCTTCTTCTGTTTAGATGAGATGTCTTCTGATTTAATTCGAACCGGTTGGATATTGGCTCGATCAGAATGCTCCTTCTGATGTATGGAATGATGGCGTTTGGTGATGAGGTCCTTAGCTGCTCCTTTCTCAGCTACAAATCCTCCATTCTTCTCACCTACAAGCTTAACTCCATCTTCTTTAGCTCCAAAGCTCATCTCTTTGTCAAATCCTTGAGTATAAGTATTGAGGATTGTATCAAACATCTATGGAGGATCTGCTTGATCACTTGGACAGCTTTGAGAGTCTTTGCAATTTATAAAGGATCATTGGAATCACAGAAGATGGCTTCAAACAGAGGTTATTTCCTTTTTATCTTGGTGATCGTGTACATTTGTGGGACAGATCTTTGGGATGATTGCAAAAGAGTGTTTCTTGCAAAGATTTACTCTTCCATCAGAACAGCTACGCTAAGCAGAACATCTCAGGGTTCAAACAATCACAAGATGAGCCATTATGTTCAGCAACGGAAAGATTTCAAGGCTATACACTACGCAGCCCTCATCATGGCTTCTCAACAGAGTCATTGCTCAGCACACTTTATAGACGAGTATTGCCAAGATTCAAGATGATGATAGACAATGCCAGCAATGGACATTTCATGGGGACAAGTGTAGAAGACGGCTTGCAGCTGATTGAAAACCTTGCCATAGGTAATGGCAACTATTAATGTAGGAGTTTACTCTACTTCAAATCCTACATACGCTCATATCATTGTAGTATGTAGGTATCAACCCATAATGGAAAGGTAAGACATTAAGAATGCAATAGATTATCTAATTCAAGCAAGCATAATTGGGAGAATGAAACTATGAATCTAACAACTAAAAGAGACTTCAAATAAGCAAGAGTAAGTAAAATAAACAGAGAAACTAAGGCAAGTTCGGAGTCTAACAATCCAAAGACAAGTGGGACATTAGATGAGGTTATTGATAAATGGAGATTCTTGGCTTAACTAATGATGCTTACAAACCCACAAAAAATTATTCCTAGGTATAGAATTAACCGCTATAACTAGCTCAATTCTTTGACACTAACCACTTTGCTAAGCATATATTCAAGACAAATTCCTTTACTCAAACACATGATCAGCAAGCACTGAACGCATTAAAAGCATTAATCAAATTCTATATTACCAAAATACTCCTTAGACAGCTAATTCCTTAAGCTAAGATAAGCAAATCTCTTACTTGACTCATTCAAGAATTTCATCAATCACTTATGAGGCATAAGAGAACCCTTGGATCTAGATCAACTTAGCAAGGGCTAATCTAGCATTAAACACAATCAATAAGAAGGAACAATAATATTAAGCACTAAGCTATCACTAATCTAGCCTCAAATCTCCCTATCTCTATCCCATCTCAGATCCTACGCAAACTACTCACTAAACATGGTTTTAGCCATGAACCCAAGCAAAGGAAGATGGTTGATCATGAGAAGAGATAAGATAAACAAAAACTTTGATTGATTAAAGCAGATTCAAAGCAGTAATTCAAGATTACAAGGAAGCAAACTAGAGAGAAAACTATTGTCTCAAAGCTAAAAAGATAGATAAAAGATGATAAGAAGATGGATCCCAACAATTGGTTCTTAAAATAATTATAGTGTTTCAGAAAAGCCTTTAATAAACTACGAATAAACCAGATATTGCTTAATTCGGAGGGGTGTATCAAGGTGTACTGGTCGATACACTGGTCGATATTGGCTTCCTTCTCGCTGTAGACTGTCATATCGACCACGTCCACCCCGATACTCAGGT